GTGCGCGCGCGGTATTGAAGTTACCACCACGATAAGGGAATAATTCTTTTAGATACGATCTGCGCATCTCGGGTCGGATCAGTATAAGTCCCATCATTAATCTTGTACGCCATTTTCTTACCATCTAATCTAATTCAATTAAAATCTAATATAATGATTTTTCGCGTGAACTCACAAACGCACCAATTTTATTTTTCTTTTCTTTCCTTTTCTCACTCTCGCTCTCTCTTTCCCTCTCTCTTTCAACTCTGAAGAAATAAAAAGTTAAATGCATGTGATTATAATTTGAATTGTAATTGCAGCAATTCATGAAATATTAGTTGATAACGAAATAGACGTCGAATTCGTAAATTGTTATTTCAAGTAAGCAATATTTCGATATAATTTAGTTTGTGCGATAATTAATATTACACAATTTTTCATTTCTGAATCTAATTGAATATTTTTTACTAATTATTTGATGTATGATTGTATATTCACACTGGCCGCGCAATTAATCTGTCGAGAAACAGGAACATAAAAATTCTATCGTCGCGTGTCCACCTTACATGCTACCGCCGTATGAAAATATTACGCCTTTTTACGCGAACGTTATGTCGGCGTTTTTTTCAGCGATTCCTGTTGTCAGCCACGACGATAAATTTCCATTATTCAAAAAAAAGCTCCTCCCAACTCCGGCCGCGTGTCGCGCAACGCATTTACACAACTAGTTCTCGTGCAAGCGGAAAATCTGCATTTTTGTCGCGCAACGAAAAATTGATGCCTCTCTTCTTCTCTACTTGCCGCGCCGGTAAAATGAAATTATTTTCGCGTTACTCTTAAAATATGCTAATTTGCGTTTTTCCATAATATTAATATTAAACAATACATCAATCTTCGCAGTGTCTTAATCGGCGCTTCGCACTATCGCAAATTTATACGCGGGCAACATGCAATTTCGTGGAAAATATTTGATAGAAAAAGAGAGAGAGAGAAAGAAACATAAAAATCGAGAAAATGATTTCGCTGTCGTAACAATGTTATGTATGCAAGAACGCGATCTACATGCATAACATGTGCACTTCGCTGGCGCCGTATGCGATTCCCGAAGTCAACTGATCTCGTCTCGTCCCGCGAATATGATACTGAGAATTTTGGATGCGAGACACGTTGATAATTTATTATAATCAGTCGATGAAATAACGAAACTTGTTGTAGCGTGAAATCATGCTCACAACGATAGATCTTATTCTATTAACTGTAAAGAAAGATTATGATTTGTAATACTATTCTCATGAGACGATTATTATAATACGCGAATCAGTTCTTCTCCATCCAATTCAATCAAAATTTGACGACGAATGTTATTTTTTTATATATTAATATAATTTTTGTTACCAAGAGAAATAAAAAGTTATGAAATATAAAAAATCGAATGATGGGGAGAGATTTTTGATTAAATTAGTAAAACGATGCGGTTGATATAGCAATCCAATCTTGATCCACGAATCCACGACTCAGTTGATTGACCTCGAAACTAAATTTGCCTAACGATGGCCATTAAACAGGCATATATCTAGTTAAGATTATCGACATATTTTGACTCACAGTTATTTAGTAGATCTATAGATGCGTATACATAACACATATACACGAATAGCTCGGTAAGATCTACATTAAATAGCTAGACGAAACAGAGCTTTAAAAGCGATCCATTTTCCTTGAGCGAACGAACCCTCTCTTTAAATAATCTCGCCATCATTAGATTCGCAGTTTCGTAACTTCTTCTTTCGCATTTTCATTTTTCCAAAATATATTCTTAATTTACTTAAAATTAATCAAAAGGGAGTTTTTAAGATTTACTTGAAATTCATTAAATTGAGTTTTGACTTGGCTATCTGACGTCCAAAGCTGCGGGGTCTACGTGCCAAGAAATTCGTGGCTAAACTTCGTCGCTGTTTTTGCAACCTAGTGATTATGCGAACTCATTTCCACGATAGAGATAAAGAAAAGAATAGAGAGAGAGAAAGAGAGAGAGAGAGAGAGAGGGAGGGAAGGCGACCGAGTTTTCTCTTGTCCGTTTCGCCGCATCGCTAATCGGAAAACGGATACAGCTATACTGGCAGAACGGAGTTTAGTCGATGAATCAAAACGCAGTTTGTATGTGCTGGGTAAAATGTATCGCGCGATGCTCGTCGAGTATGTAAAGAAGCACTGTTGGCATCGGACATAGTAGTAGTAGCTCGAACAAACCGCATATTGATAGCGCACGTACCTCTCTCTCGGCGACACGTGTCGTCATAGCAAGCCGAGTAAATGTATCTGTCATTAGAGCGCAAAATAAGCGCTACCATCATCGGCCAGCTCGTCGCGAATTGGCGCAAAGGGGGATGTTTCGCTTTTTTTCTACATTAATTCAAAGAGACGGAAAGAGAATCGAATGTTAATTAATTTATGAATACTGATACTGATTTTTTCATCGAAGGGAATAATGATATGTTTTTTGATCTTTTTTTCAAAATTTAAAAAATAAAAATTAGAAATATTTTACGCAAGAATTTTCTACTCAGATTGCTAATTAATTATTTAATTAATGTATTTTCATTTAATATTTATATTAATTTATTATTTATAAAAAATTTAAGATATTATCTGTGCATAGATTTTTATTACGTATAATATATATGTCTCTTACGAAGAGATATATCTTTTTAAAAATTTAATATCTCGCCAAGCGCCACGTATGATAACTTAGTATGCATCAATATTATGTGACAAAAAAGGCTAAAACAGCAATATTATCGATTTATCATTGCATATGAGGTTTCTAAAGACATTCTACGCGAGAAGTGCAATACAGTTTGAGGAATTCCGTATCCCGTATTTATGAGATACGGATCTATCTATCGCCATCGATCACTATTGGTAGGATTGAATAGAAAACGACGGAATTCCGTCTAGACCCTCGCATATCTGTAAGAATTGAATTATCGCATTTGATAGAGAGATAGCGTAATGAAATTCGCCAATTTGTCTTGAGACCTCGAAGACACCTCTACCAATTTAATGAAATATATTAATCCACTTTGATGCACTTCCCGCCAGGAGATTAAACGCGCAAGCGAATCGTTTTTTTCTCAGTGACAGAAAAAAACCTTATTTCTTTTAATAATCGCGTTAAACGACGTAACAACAACGCCATTCAGGTTCTTTCAAATTGTCTCGGCGCGGACAGCTTTATTATATCTGATCTTACTTTATTATGCCGTCCTTGCGCGCTGGTCCAGCGCGGCTTAACACAGTGGCTATAAATGCAGATGGCTTTTGTATGAAGAGTATTGTGCGCCAGTATGAATCATTTAAAGTTGAAGATATTTTGACAACTTTCTCGCAATCGACATCGACGTTTAAAGTTCAAAACGGCGAATTTTTTGCGCTTCTAAAGTACTTTGTTGCTGTGAAAAGTTTACGTAATAATAATTAGACAGTCTGTGTTACTATTGAATTGAACACAATTATTTTCGCATAAATTATATAACATATTTATATTTGACATTTATAAAATATCTGTTTTTTTATATTTTTTCTTTATTAAAATTTCATTGATTTTTTTAAAAAGTAAAAGTCTCTACATCGTAAATTATTCTTATCACTTTGAATATTATATCATTTTTTTTTATTAAGGAAAATTAGAGAAAACCCTCGTTTCTCGATCTCGATATGATTTGATTTCTTTTATTCAACAGCCGTCCGTATAATCTAACAATTATACATAATCTAAAACGCGTCTCGCAATTAGGATATATTTCTTTTTAGTTTTCGCAAATTCATCTCACGCATACGAAAATAGTACAATAGAAACGAATATCATCGGTGCCTATATCATTGCAAAATTTTCATTGTACGATTGATTAAGATTCTTTTACTTGAATTAATCGAATCCGCAACGGGGACAGCAATTGTTTCGCTGGCGCCAGCGAGCGCCCAGCTCGACAAAATCTAGTTAAAAAGCATATCTCGATGTAAATTTGCACCGATCGACTGTAAACGTCTATTGTAAAACCGGCGCGCGAAACTTCGAAACGAGGCCGAAACTTTTAGGGCGCTTTTTTTGCCGTACTGTTTATTAATACGGCTGCGTTTGCTTAAAACATCCGCTGTCTGCGAAGCGATTCTTGTATATCTGAACCTGTTTTCGCTTCTCATTGTCTCTGCTAATATTTTGTCGGCCAGTTAATGATCGTGCGATTCGATGTATCATGATCTTTTTATTAATATCTATTTTTTGTACCATATTATATTATATCATCATTTTTTTAAATATGAATGATTTTTTATCTTTTTTGCTTACGTTGTGCTTTCATTTATTGCCAGTCAATAGAGTTCGATAATTATTTGACGCGAAACGGAATTTATTAAAAAGAGTCGACGTTGAAATTCGGAGATCACCGACCTATTTTATGTAAAGACCCGCGCGCCAAGTTAAACGACCTCGCAGAATATTAGACGCGATGACGGGATACAGTCGTCTTATATAATCTTACCAATTTTCCCTGAACGGTTTAAGAATCGAATGGATGTGATCGATGAATCAAGAGGATCCTCACCGCGATTTCTAAACATCACCAGAAGACGAAACACCATACCTCTTCACCAAGAAGAAAAATATTGGATGCCGATAACGTGACACACTGATTTTGAAAATCATTTTGGATTTCCTTACAAACCCGTCGACACCCTCACTATTCTAGAAAGATCTTCCTTTTCAACACTAGATATAACCGTTAGCGAATTTTCCGAGCGTGATCTTCAAGTCGCACGTCTCCTCGGACGATCTAAAACGATATTCAGGAATTTTGAGCGATAAAACGAACCCGCATCGACATCCGTCAATTTTTGGCGCCACAAGAGTCTCCCCGTCGATCCTCGAGGAGGATCCCAACTGTCAACTTTACCGTCGATCACTCCACTCGGAAAAGATAAGGAAGGAAGGGTAGGTCGGGAAGGGAAAGCACACTTACCACATATCTCTTCCTCGACGGCGGAGCACAACAGCGGATTGCGTTGCGTATCACGTGAGCCGCCGGGCGTATCCGCTCGTCATATCCGCGCGTTCACGCACTCGCGCGCGGCTTCGCTCGAGATCCGCTCACTACCGCTGCCGAGTCGCCCTTTCCTTCCTTCCTCCTCCTCCTCCCCCTCGTCCTCCGCCTCCTCCGCCTCCCGGTCGCGTCGGCCTCGGCCCGGCTCCACTCCCGAGGTTTACGCAGGGCGCAACGCACCCTCTTCTTCTGCGAAGAGCGCCTTCCCGCCGCCCCCTTCCCCGCGACACACACGACGCGATGCGCACGTACGCGTATGTCACCCCCTCGCGACACCTTCTCCCTCGTGGGACGCTATATCGCGGCCGCCCGCTTCTTCCCGGACACACAGCACGGCACGAGAAGGCACCCACAATACTACGAGATCACCACCACCAACCACGACCGGCACACAATTATGACGGAAGACGTGGGGAAAACCGAGCGCGCGCGCGCGCGGGCGCACACGTTCCGCTGCCACCACCACCACCACCTCCGCTCCTTTTCGCTCTTCTTTTACGTAGCTCCCGCTCTCTCTCTCTCTCTCTCTCTTTCTCGGATCTCTCCTTCCGTTCCTCTTCTCGCTCCTATCCTATCTCCGTCTCTCCTATTCGCGTCCTCTCCTTCCTCTCGCAGCGCGGCCTCTCTCGCCTCGTGTAAACTTATAAATAGATATCTAGGTGCGTTCTATTATATTTATATATACGCACATACACACGCGCGCGTCGACGAGGGCGCGAGCGCGAGACTTTCGCGGAGAGACGGATGCGACGCGTGCGTGCGTGCGTGCGTGTACGCGCTTCCTCACATATACGGCGTCCACGAGAAACACACTACCTTTCCCTTCGACGTATCCGACTTCCTCGGTGCAGAATTCTCGGCGACGAAACTCCTCGCTCGACGCGCTCTCAAACGATAGGAGGATGATCGAGAGGAGAGAAGCATAGGATTGTCGAACGATGACGACGACGACGACGACGGCTGCCAGACGACGTTTATATCATCGAATCGGATCAATTCCCGGTTTCCTTCTCTTTCTTAAGCCCTCGCGCTTCTGGCCCTTAACGACAACGAGAACGCGACGCGAAGAAGATCTCGTTTCTCTCTTCGAATCTCCTTTCCTCGCCAGCTTCCGAGCTTCTCGCCCTCCTCGACCTCGCCTCCCTTCGCGGACAACCCCGATGTCACTGCACCGCTCTCTGTCTCGCTCGAGCAACCGCACGGCCAGTGCTCCCTTTTCCTATATATACGCGCATTCCACCGCGCGTTGGGGTCTCGCCCCGCGTACACACGTTTCCCTTCAGTGGCGCGCGCCGGCGGGGGTGCCTCTCTCGATCCGACTCGGGGATCGACTTCCGGGCAGCGGTGCGGCCAGGTGGATAATATGTTTTTTCTTACTTTCTATCTATCTTTTTCCGCGAACGCGCGACGCACAGGCCGGACGACGACGACGACGACGACACGGCACACGTTCTCCACACTCGGACGATATGCCGCCGGCTCGACGCCAGCGACGCCTGGCGTCGCGACGCCCCACCCCCGCACCCGTCCCGAGCGAGACGCCGTGGAACGACGCGAGCGCGTGTAAGCGCTACGAGGGGCCGACGAGGGTGGCGGTGGTGAAAGCATCGCCAATCCCCGAGCAGAATAGTGGCGGATTTAAAGCGCCCTGAATGAAAACCACTGTGTGTGTATATGTTTACTTCTTTTTACACATCTAAATTTAGAAGAAAATAATTATCCTCCGGAAAATAGAAATTCAATATAAATCATTCACTTGTGCTTTTTTTTTACATTTGTGCTTAATCTCCTTTTTTATGTCATTAGTTAGTAGTTTCTGCTGGTTGGAGTCAGACAATAAGTAGTAAGGAGTTTTGTAGAATGCCAGTGGCGTATGACTGTCATAGTCAGACGCAGCGTAGTAAATCGGCTGCAATCTCAGTTTTCTCACTTTCCCATCTATCCAGAGATTTTTGTTATCTATTTAATATACTTATAAAATCAAAAATATTGGGATTAGTAAAGGAATTTGAGTGTCCAAATCTTGACCTAAAAAAAAAAAAAATAATGCCAATTAGTACCTACGAATATACGATCGAAATAGATTACATAACTACAACGTTACATAACTTAATTCAAATTACATAATTATATAATTGAAACAAATTCTTGAAAACGCTGATTCTCTCATTAATTATTAATTATTAACGTTATTATATCGGCAAAGTGTTGTTGCATTTACGCTCAATTTATTTAAATGAATTTAATATCTGTTATAATGAAAGGAGAGAAACAATTATCATTTTTGAAGAGAAATTTAAGACATTACACCGAAAGGTCTGCGCAAGAATGTCGATTATAATTATCTCGTGAATTCACTCGTGAGCGAAATCGAATGAACGGGGTAGCGAGATAAGAGGAAAATTGACAAGATACGTACGCGAGTCGATGGATCACGCGCATAAGGAAAAACATTTCCTTGGCGAAACGACGCGATAGTCAGCGGAAAAATTTATTTTCGACCCATTTCAACCGACCTACTTTAGCGATCACGCGCACCGAGTTTACTTTCCGGAGGTCGTAGGGCACAGATGATTTAGCAGAGAACGAGTTTCGCTCTTTGTCGAGCAACACCTTTGGACGCCCTTTTGCCCTTTACAAGACTGCGATTATCGAAATTCTCTAAAAGAGATAAAGAGAAAATTAATACAAGATTAATACACACAAAATTTATATAAATACACATCGATTTTGGCAAAGATGTAAGATGCACAAGATATATTATAATATATATATACAATTTTTTGTATACGTGCATATATAATTATCATGATGTAATATGTGAGAATTAGATATTTTTCTTTACTATATTTATGTATAAAAAGAAAAGTGTAAGCATAAATTATTATGTAATATAATGTATATGTTCTATATATTTTTACTTCTATATTTACATATATATAAAAGAAAAATATAAGAATTAAGAAAAATATTTAAATTTTATTTGTTTATGTGCATATATACTTTGCGTTTCTCAAAATGCAATTGTTGTTTTATACAAAGTACAGCAGTTTTATACAAAGACTTATATAAAGCATGGCAAAGGTATGGTGAATTTCGTTGTAGGAAAAGAATAAAATTCGAAGATAGTACTTTACGCTTTTTTGCGCATCTTGGCTTGTTCGAATCTGACCCATTTTAAGGGTGCAAATTCCGTCGCTTATACGAGAGCAGAATTTATTTGCCAAGTAAAAGATCGAAGATCAGATAAGTACCGCTTTGTTCTCATCTCACACGCCAATGCTTTGTATCTAATCTTTTTACAATTTAAAGAAGTACACTTATCCAGGCGTTAAATAAAAATTTTTGAAGAAAATAATCATCGCGCTCGTATAAATGTTTTGAATAATTTATCTGCAAGTTACACTAAAATAGAATAATTTGATGTAAAGTAGAAAAAAAATTGTTCCATCTTGTTTTAATTGTCATTAATTATTTAAATGTCAAACGATATTCAGATTTTATTAATAGTATTCGAGAAAGACTGCGATGCGCAGTAATAAAAATCTTTATAAAAAAGATAACAGAGCTGAGATATGCAAAACATTTTTATACACTAACTTATTTAACAACTTCTCAAAAGAAAATTTTTGAAAAATAAAAGGTTTTCAGATCACGTATGTGTGAAGGCAAATGTGAATAAACAAAATAATTCCAGAATAAAAAAAGCAGTTAAAAATAGACGTATTCTGTTAATGCTTCTCTTTGCATTCAGCTTCATATTATCTATAAATATTAATCGACAAAAGATAAACAGTTAATTAGAAAATACTACACGAAATATAAGTTTATATGATAATTCTGTAATATAATATCAAATTAAAAATAAGAATTGTGTAATATTTTCTATTCAAACAGCACACCATAGTTTTGACAAGTCTAAGTCAACAACATTATCGTAGTCAATATTTGAACTCGTATATGAAATAAAATTATGTCGACAAATAAAATTTTATGTTAAATGATAATTGCTTTTGAAAGATACATACATTATGTTTTGAGAAAATTAATATAAAATGTAACGAAGTATGTGTCGCGTAATGTTATACTCTTATCGTTGTCCTGTTACGTTACCATGTATACGAAGGGATGCATATTTTTATAGGATGTACGATCGATCACGAAATTACGCCGTAAGAAATATCAGTTTACAGAGTGCGTCGGTGTTGTTCGAAAAGGTGTGTGTCACATACACTCTTCTTGATATTATATAAAGTCATTGAGACGTAAGAATATATTATGTAAAAAAACATTGGGGTGGTATGATGGTCACATCGTAAAATATAAGAATCACTTGAAATAAAATGTTCACACACACATATCGATATTCACTAATAAACTGATCCGTTGAAAAAAAATTAACCAAAAATAAAAATTAAAAATTACAACTAATTCTTTTGACTCTAATACTAATTCTAATTAATAATAATTATTAATTATTAATTATTAATTAATTAATAATAATATATACTAATGAACTTAATATATTAACATGCTTAATACTAATGCTTATACTAATTAATAATAATACTAATTCTAATCGATTACATTTAGAAACAAATGTAATTGATGTAATAATAGTGTTGATTATAGATAATAATGTTGATTAAAAAATGAGAGTATATTTGTTGAAATTAAAATTGCAAATTATCTAAAGCATCGTCTGCGACAATGAAAAGAAAAATATTTATACGGTTAATTAAAATCACTGTGAAAGTAATTACTATGACATTACTTTTAATGTTTCTCTCTCTTTCACAATGTCTAACTCGAACGTAAAAATATCGATATTTTACGCCTACGTTACCGAGCAGTCTCTACACGGTGACGTTTTATCTCGATTAACTGTCAATTTGATTTATCAACATAACAATTGGAGAATATGTATTAGCGTATTCTCGGGGATGAATTTATCGATATTTCAATAGTAAATAGAGCGCTGTTCTTCAACTTCGAGTTGGACGATCTAATGAGACGATTGCAATGAGAATTTGCAAATTGTTTCGGAAAACCGCCCCGGTATCCGACCTATCCGAAGATCCTATCTATCCTCCTTAAATATTATATATCCGATATATATATCGGCTGACGGATATCGTCCTTGAACGCCGTCCGGAGAAACACTTGTCGCACGGAACCAGGTTTCCTTCGAGGGTGCGCGTCGTCGTCTATCCATGTACACAAACACGTCGCACATAATGGAAAACCATATAGGTCACACCCATGTAGGTAGATACGCGTGTCGACGCAATGGTGGCATTCGCATGCGGCCGTCACGCAATAATAGACGCCGGCGATTTAATATTATCCAACAAAGTTACACGCCGTATATCGAGAGACGTCTCGCGTCGCTCGAGCCTCTTCCTTCGCAGCCTCGTAATTTTCATTTCAATCCTATAAAAGGCAATAAAGAAATGCGAGAAAAAAGAAAATAAAAATAAAAGTTCTATTTTTATTTTCTTTCGGAGCGAAATGTAGATAAATATAATAATATAAATGCGAGAAAAAAAATGTCAACCGTGTGATTCGAGAATTCCAACTAATGACTCGTGAGAAGATTGAAACATTCCTTTTCTGTTTGTGACAAGAATCTGCATCTGCGATATTGTTTCTCGAAACAATCTTTAAAATCTTTAAAAAAAATTAAATCGAAAAACTTAAAGGAACTCAGACACGGAGTAAGATAAGCTCCGACTCCGAAGAACTTAAATAGATATGAATCGGTGTCGCTTTCTTCTCGAAAGGATTTGCCTCTTGCGCAAGAACCGAACGATATTGGATAATTATACAGCGTTATACAAATATCAGAAACGTTTTATGCATCAGCATTCATGACATTTATGACATTTCTGGGTAAGCGTTGCCGACACGATCGTTACACACGCAATCGCTATTTACATGGGCGATGCGTGTATCGTGTTCCCGTTTGATTGGCCGCGAGAGAAGTCGTAAGTTGCGGCGTTAAAATTCCGCGACGCAGAATGCACGAGTGGTATGCATACACGGGATATTTTCTATCTGATGAGCAGTCAATTCCTGCGAACGTTCTGTCGACTCCTCGCTATAATGCTTGGACCATGCAATAATGGAGAAGGAAAGTTGGTCGAACTGATGTATCGGCTTTCCGGGAAGCTATATGTGTAAGCGTGTATTTTAGCGGATGACGGTACATCGTTAGTATTCCCTTGGGTAAACATTATTTATTACTTTTCTAATCGAGTCCACTAATAAAACGCGGCGATAAACAGGCGAGGCAAACATCGTGTAAGTGCCGTCAAACTTATCGATGACTCGATTGATCGAGTCTAATTTTGCGCGGAGCAATCGCCGGAAGAGCATCTGTAAAAGAATTAATCGTGCGTTAATTAAAACTTATTGATAGGTGAAAATAAAATGCAGAACATAAATCTCGAGGAATGTAATATGTAACAATCCTCCCAAAATAAGTGTTCTTTTATAAGTCTTAAATTTATTTTTGCATTATAGAAAGCATATGAAAATAATTTTATTTTAATACAAAACATATATGAAATATTTAGAATCTATTAAAATATATCTTTAATAAACCTAGAATCCGCGCTGAAAATACCCCAATTTATCTCCCTTTTATAAGTCTTAAATTTATTTTCACATTATAGATGATGAAAGCATATGAAAATAATATTATTTTAATACAAAACGTATATGAAATATTTAAAATCTATTAAAATATATCTTTAGTAAACCTAGAATCCGCGCTGAAAATACTCCAATTTATCTCCCTTTTATAAGTCTTAAATTTATTTCCACATTATAGATGATGAAAGCATATGAAAATAATTTGATTTTAATACAAAACATATGAAATATTTAAATCTATTAAAATATATATTCAATAAATCCAGATCCGCGCTGAAAATATCCCATTAAATTCAAGATTATGAAAAAGAATTATTAAGAAAAAAATCAAAGCTCTTGATATTAAAAAACGAAAACCTGTATGAATCTTGTAACGTTCTCTGAAGATTTTCATAGCAAGTTTTACATATTTTCATAGCAAAAGTTAACAGTAAAATGTAACAAATCGTCACTGAAATTAATTGCACAAGCATATTTATCTCAAAGAACTATTTTTATTTTTCACAGAAACTGCTCTCGAAAATGCATTTTGACAACGATAATGTAAGTTTTTGTTGTACGCACGAAAGAATGAGTCTCCTCTACAATTAAAGTTTATACCCGTCGAGAACCTTATTCTATTCTTAAAACTATTCTGTTGAAGAAAAGATAAAGCTCAAGTTTTACCAGCACGAGGGACTGTTTTATTTATATAATCTACTGCGTTCGACTATACATTTATATGTATGCCGGGGAAACCGTCGACTTGAACCGATCGCAGATGAGCGAAATAAAGTCAAGATATATACGCGACTCGCAAAAATAAAATAAAAAAAAAAGAAAAACACTCAACGAACTTGAATGAATAGCTGTCAGTAGCTATTAGTAGTTCGATCACTTGCAAAGTTGCAATTTTCCAATCTTAGAGATTAAAAATTGGCCTCGCTGAATTCTTTTTTTCATCTCTCTCCATTTTTATTATTTCTATCATTTATCTATTTTCCGCGTCAAAATTAAAAAACATTTTTACAGTTAAGGAAAAAAAGATATATAAAGTTTCCTCTCTAATATACTCGACACACTTAATTAAAAATATTAAAATCTCTTTCCTTTCTTTCTCGCTCCGATGTTATAAATTGAATATTCAACCGAGCGAAAATAATTTTCTTAAGATTAATTTCAATTTCTTTAACTTTATTCTTTCGTTTCCGTTCTTCAATCTACGTAAAAGAATTACCCGTGATTTTCAATCGATCAGAAAGCGAATATAAAAAAAGCTAGGGCTTTTTTCTCGCATTATCCTTGGAGCCAAAGGAGCTATATCAGTATGACGTATTACGTTTATGCGATTCATTTATTATGATTCCTTAATTCGTAGAAAATAATAATGACAATGTACATTTCTATGTATTTTTCGCTCAACAAAGAAAGTAATATATAATTACAATGTACGTCGCGCGCGAGGCTCTCTCTTCTACAGACAATTCATCTTTCTTTTTTCCTTCTATGCTTTGGCGGCTCCGGCGAGAGGACAGACATGCAAAAAAAGATCGTCCTCCTCGTCGCGCGACGTCGAACTTGACGAAATTCACCTATAACAATGATCGTTTACAGCATCTCGCGCGGTGATGGGTAGGTGCGATTACGACGATTCTCTCTTTACACTCTCACGAACGCTTAATCGAAATGTGTAACATCGTTCTCCTAATGGCAGTGAGACAAAAATTCTGCCGATAACAAAGAGGGAAAAAGTATCGTACGACAGATTAAAAAGAAAGTAAACGAGCGACTTCTCCTCCTATGTGCTTCGAACATAATTTTCTTCTTATTATATCCGAGACATCATTCTTTCCTTTCTTATCTCTCGTCGCTTCTTTCTCTTCCCTATCTAAAAAAAAAAAGTGCTTCGCGAATCTTAATCGACTTCTTAAACAATCGTTGGCATACGCATCGTAAAATAAAATGGGGAAGAATATCGAATGATCTTTCTTCCTTCACACTTCATAGCGAACATCTCGAAATGGGCCGCTACGGTCACGTTGACAAAGGATCATTAACGTTAATGCGATTATACGGTAAAGCTGCGCCGGCGAGCAGCTATGCTCCTCGTGTCATGTCGGGTCGGATATTGTACTTATATATAAATAATTATAATTACATATATTTGTATAAATGATACTCGTATCTCTAACCCTTTCATTCTCAAGTATAAATATTAAAAACAGCATGCATCAATCGAAAATCGTTAAATTTTAATGTGATAAAACCCATATCTATGGTATAAATATAATTCAATCTTTTAGGAGTTTTAATTAAGAATCAAAGGATTAAGATACGTACATTATGTTTCTTTCTAATCACATCGGATAAACCGGTTTGATTACTATAATTATGATCGATCATTTACTAATTACTAATTAATCGATTGACCAATATTTCATTAATAATTAATATTGTTATCAATTGTTGATTATTATATATTGTTAAATTTGATATATTAAATTTATATATTTTTTCACACATTACCGTTAAATTTAGAGAGAGAGATGAACAATTTCTAATAGATAATTATTAATCAAAATTATCGGTACAATCGATTTTAATGTTTTTAAAATATCAATTTTAAGAAACTCACGATTTAGTGAACTTATACATATATCTATTTTATTTTTTTTTTTATATCTGAGACATATGAAAAAGTGAAATAAAATTTTTACATCTTCTTTCTAATATATTTATATATGAATAATAAATATATACAGTGTCCTCATTTTAAATGTCACAGCGAAATATCTGGAAAATAATATTGGAAAAGTTTCGAGTAAAATTATAGAAGCGTTTCAATAATTTTATCTTAATAATTTTTATATGCAGAATAATCATATATAAATGAAAAATCATATTATTCTACTTAAAAAAAAAATAAAGTAGCTTTGATATTTCGAAAGCATTTCTAATTGGAAACAAAATTGCCAAAAAAATGTTCCCTTCGAAAGTAACTGTCGTTTTAAACTTTTCCAATGTTAATTAATTTTCAAATATTTTTCTAGGACAGATTTAAAATAGGACTCTGCGTATACGGTAATCACAAATGTACAACTCTCTTTTTTTGCATTTCAAGTTCAATTCAGCTTGAACAATTGTTCATTCAGAATTAATTTAGCATATTAACAAGTAAAAATTTAAAAAAATTTAATTTAAATTAATTATTCCAACATTCTCGCGCGATTTCGTTATATTTGTACGACTAATGGGTATTATCGTTAAGAGAACTTACAATAAATAATCAATATACAAATCTTTTTCTCCAAGCTTACGTGTCTTTCCCCCTCCCTTAATATTGCACTTTGAATGCTTCCACGAAACAAAAAAAAGAAAGTCAATCAACTATAACATAGACAATGTTTATGAACTATACATCTTACTGTATTTAAATTAGCGCAGTACGTATTTTATTGCTACGTACATATGCGATACAAAATGTTCGTCGCGATTCTGCGCATAGCTCGCCAAATATATATGTATATATATATACAGCGAGTAATTTTTTTCTGTTATTCATTACTTGCAGTATTAAAAAAATAATTAGCAGTGGACATGAGTAACGGCCCATTCGTCAATTAATGTCAGAATTTTAACTAAATCTCAGCGTGTACAATGAATAAATGTCGCGACCAAAATAACGACTTTTAGTCGGAAAACGAAACTTATGCGATATTATATCTCTAATTTTTTGAATATTTCGGCATTCTTCTATCATAGATGCTCTCTGACAATATAAGAAATTAAATATGTATCACGATCGAAAATAAAGTAATACCATTATATGATAATTTTATTAAATATGCGTCGGAGATCGATTTTAATCACTATTTACTAAATATTGATTTTTTTATCGAAATTTTTGAAATAATGATATTACTTTCTTTTCGAATAGAAGCAAAAATAATCAAATTCCGCATGTTTTTATCGATATCGATTTAAAAATATCCAATAATCCTTTGATTTGATATGCAGAAAATAAAAATTGCACTCTTTCCAATCTAAAAATCAAAAAAATTTTTGAGTACCGCTTCTGAGTTTTCCTTCTGCCCCTCTTCGCGTATTATTTTTCACCTGCGAACAAAAGCGACGTGGAACAGATGGTGGTCTTATGCACAAAGGCAAAAATCTTTTGTCCCCAAAGGGGCCTCGTCTGCAGTATATATATGGACATTCGGATTTTAACGGCGTGTAATATAACGAAAACGCGTTGCCGAGTAAAATCCTCTCTCTTATAATACTTCGTTACTACTACAGCATCGTGTGTTAACGGTGTATTCCGTATACAATGGTATATGCAATGCGACGTCCGCCTGTGATGTATCGACTCGCATCGAAAGACATTGTAATATACACCGAAATAACAGAGAATACGGTAATAAACTTATGTATATATGTATCATTATATGTATAAGCAATATTTACAAGGTTTTTCATGATATTTAACCCTTCATTCGAGAATAGCGATTACAATAATAGTAACTAACTAATATTTAGCTAAATTTTTTAATCAGTTAGATAATTATTATTATACATAGTATAAGTATAGGAATCCTCCTCCTTCGTTCTTTCTCTCCGTTCCGGAGTGTACCACATATGTATGTAGGTGGAAAGTAGCAAGAATATAATAACGGTGGACTACTTTCCGAAACGATTTCAATGAGATATAGTTTGTAAGATTTAATCTGATTATGTTTATCTCGCAAAATATGAGATCTTGATATAATTTATTTCATATATAGTAGTTTGTTTTAAGCTAGAAAAGATGCGAAAAGAAAAGGATTCTTTTCCCAGAGATTATATTGATTCGACATTGTTCAAAGGTAAGAAATTTTGAAAAGAGTAATAAGCCAATCGAATTATTAAATAGAATTATCCGTTTAATTTATCATAGAATGCTTCATTAATCTTTATGACACTGTACGACGCTTGGGTAAGTATTCACATACTTTTTCCTTGATTCGTATGTATTTAATTCTAGACAAGGAAAAAACATGTACGTGTGCGATCTAAAAATTCTCCCACCTACGAGGTTTTTCCGTTTACGACATCTCGATAGGCCTTCAGAGATTCGTTGTTACCAGAATAAGACATACATTGCTAGAAGATTTAAATAACAAGGACTATAAGAGAGAGATAAAGAGAGAGAATGAGAGATAGGAAGAAAATGCAGTAATGCTATTCTATTTCTAAACCAAGTTTAATCGTGAGAAAAGTACCTTCAAATTCGATATGAATTCGCTGTCGCGTATCGTAGAACGAGAAGGCCTAAAATTTTCTAAAGTGGTATGTGTGTGTGTGTGTGTGTTCTGTGTGTGTGATCTCCCTTTTTTAATTATATTTCAAAAGATAGTTTGTCGTAATGTGCGAAATTGATATTACACGCGCGTCGTGACGGAGGGAGGTGGGAGGAAAAGGAGGGGGTCGAAGGAACGGGGGAAGGAGGAATTATAGCTGTTAAGAGTGCGTTAGATCGATAGTGCGTGTCTCGTTGCCGAGGATCAAACGTAATCTCTTCATCGGCGGCGGTGGCGGATCGAGGTTCAACTCGCGTGATTTTTTGTGTCGTCTTTCACGGTCCCTGCTCTTGTGCTTTTTCCGGCGTTTACGCCTCTCCAATCCCTCGACGCGCAATACCTCGTATTCAGGCTCGTAGCTATCTTCGCTCATGCCACTGGTGCCGGATTCGATATTATCCTCCAGAAGAGGACACGATCGCTTCATGCGCAGTGTCAGCTTGAGACCACGGCTGGGCTTCTCCGGTGTGACGGGCCAAACTCGACAATCGCTCGAATTGCTCGTTTGCCACTGACACTCGGAGGATGGGATTGAGCTTGATTTTCGCGTATTACCATTGTTTTCATAGGCTGTTAATCTAAAAGAATATTTTTCTATTAAGTTTTTTATCGATTTCATATATGTTCAAAGCATATACGTAGTATGGAAATTGATTCAAATATAGATAGAACTAAAATTTTTATACGATGAAAAAATATATATCAATGTAATCAATTTGTATCAGTGTGTAATTTACCTCTCTAAGCTCTCTTCATCACAGTTTTCTTCCGATTGAACACCGTTATTGGAATCTGCACCGTGCTCGCTCCGGGCCGTCGAATCGATCGGAGGCCATGGTTCCTCCGGGACCAACACCGGCGGTTCGGCTTTACTATACTCATCGTTACACTGCATCTCCGACACAGGCGACGTGGAGGAGGACGCATGGCGAGATTCGTGTTTGCCGCGTCTTATTATAGAAAGTAATCCAATGTCTTCCAAATTACTTTCCTTCTCGCTAAATTCGTAAATATCACCTTGGATGCCCGAATCATCATCCGCTTCCCCTATCTCGGTAGTTGCCGATCTTTGTCGATCCCTCCTCTGGCTCTTGGTCGATTTGTTTTTACTCTTTCCCGTTTTACTATGATTCTTCGCATCTACATCGTGAGCATCTTCCGTCCATGCTCCAAATTTGGACTTGGTGCTCGAGAGTTTCTTCTGTGACTTGCGAGATGATTTCGAGGACGCGACTTCCAACGCGTAATCTTTTCGCCTGAACATCGATCTCTTTATCGACGAGGGATCATGATTGTCCTGCAAATTCCTATGGCTCGTTAGATCATTGTCATAATCTGTGCCAGTCTGTACGTTATTAAAGTCCGCCACATTATTTTCTTCTCTAATATGCACTCTAGAGTCTACCTCAATTGTATGTAATGTCGTTACTTCGGATCTGATATCAGTCTCAACATTTGCGATATACGCATCACTTTTCATCATGACGTTCTCTTCTTCCTCTTCCTCTTCTTCTTCTTCTTCCTCCTCTTCCTCTTCTTCCTGGCTCGGAACCGTACTACTATAACACTTTAAAACGTTTCTAATACTACTTTTCATTTCTATAACTTCTTCAGAATTCAGTTCACAAAATTCGACACTGTCTGTGCGATTCCGATCCGTCGTCGCATCAACAGCAATCGGACTTTCACAGTCTTCACTCTCCATATCTTTCTCCATAGCATATTTTTGCACCACGATTACCTTCGTCGAGTTTATGTCGCAACATTCGTCATCCGATCGAGAACTTGATTCGTACAAGACATCATTATCCCGGAAATCTTTCTTTTCTTCCATTGACGGTGATGAATCCTCGTTCTCGCAAGACGAATCTTCGTTCGCCTTGCGATCATTCTCGTCTATCGACGAGAATCGTTTGTTACGAGATTTGGAAAGTTTATTGAGGCAATTCTCAGTGTTGCAAGAATTATTTTCGCCTTCCTTATCCCGCACAGGCGACGAAGAACGACGGTAGTCCCTCGAGCGACAATTCGTATCGTCGGGAATCGATTCTGCGGTATGTAAACGCTGTTGCATATCGGTTTGAGACATGGAATTTAATCGGATTGAATCACAGGCGTTTGTACTATAATGTCCCTTTTTGTAACTGGAAGAATTAATATTATTTACTGTATCAGGTTCGACTTCCGCGATAAGATTCGGTATTCCTCGCTCGTCTATCAAGTCGTCACCAACATTGGACTCATCCTCCACTTTTGTCAGTCGTAATGGACAGGCGCCTTCGGTCGAAGATTCCTCTGTTTCGACACGCTGTCGTGAATCTTCTATATAAAAATCGCGATCTAGCTTTGTGACGAGATGCTTTTCTAATCGCGAATACAAAGTCTCTTCGGGTACTCTATCTGAATCTTCTTTTCGATGACTGATACTCGGCACTTCAGCATCTTTCGCAACAGAATTGCCGAGACAGACCGATACAGATTTCATACTAATCTTTCCTTTCTTTGATTCCGTCCTCTTGTGAAGCCTATGAAAATAAAATTATATACAATATATTATATTAATTATATATTGTAATTATATATTAAATATATAACAAACATTTAATCGTATCAAAGCAATAAAAGATTACCTAGACGTTCTGAGTGACTGAGTATTCTTGAGAGCACTCCCGTCATCAGTACTACCATCGAATTTGTACAGTTGTTTGTTACGGAGACTCCTCGTGACAGAAGTCGTGACCGCGGAAGGATGTGGTCGAGTCTGCAGCACGTTCTCGCCGTTGTTGATAGCCGGTTGCTGCTGATTGATATCGGAGAAATGACAGCCCTGCGCAATCAGTAACTCGGCATCGTACTTGGTGAGTCCTTTACGTCGTAATTCCTTCATACTCAGAGACTGTGGCGCGACCGCTGCATTTCCAACTAAAACTGCATTTCGCTCGGTAAGAGCGGTATCAGCTTGCTGTTTGTTCCTGTTCAACGGTTGCTGTCGATGTTTAGTCCGATTGATTCGATTATCCGTTTCTCTCAGACGATAGCCTATATATTGTAATAATTGATCTAAATAAAAAGCTGACAATAACGCATTTTTTTGATAAGCATCATATTAAATTTTACCGGATGACAATTCCTCGCCTGGCTTCTGACTCGCGAAAGCGCCTTTTCCTCGCCTCTCACAAGTCTCACATTCACAATAACAATTACCATCACCGAAAAAATCCTCTCCATAAAAACACGTGATCTCTTCGCCCACCTCAATATCGCGCAATACCTTAACGCACGCTGTGTCTCTTCCCGTTGGTACAAACTGTACAATATTGTTGTGAAATTAATATATTTTCGCATAATTTCAATTTTTATGAGATATTTCAGTTACCAACCTTACAATTCGCTCTACAGTCATGATTTATATAAGCAGCAGGGCCCAACCATAATTGGGCACAGTTCTTTCGACAACTAAACATCACAGAGAAGTCATTTTTTCCAGGATGCAATAATGCAGCTTCCTCCTAAAAAGTATACAATGTTAAATAAAAATAAAGGAAAATTTAAATAAAGATTAAAGAAAAAAAAATTATTTGATCAAATCTTTTTTATATTATTCAAATCATTTTATATATTATTCCGTTTATATTTTATTATTCAAACCTTTTCACTAAGCTCCGCTATGCAACCAACGAGGCAGGAAATTTTTTCATGTTTCATCCATTTTCGGGTAGCACATATCTTAGCACCCTTTTGTCCTTCTAGGCTGTATCTGTAGCATGGTTCTATCGCAAATCCGGAATCCTTGTCAAAAACTCGTAAATATCTCTTGATCTACAAAAGAAAATAACTATTATTATACAATTTATGCATTATTTTCAATTTATATATTATTTTTATATATGAAATAACAACATAAATTCCTTATAACTGAGTTTAAAATTGTAACAGCATTATTATCATATTTAACTTACGTGGTTTTCCAAATTGATTTGCTGTTGCTTCGATTTTGTATGGGGAAGTCGTGCACCCCAGTCTCCACCCATTAATTTTTTATATGTTTTCTCATAATTTTGACTTTGGATAAATTCGCAGATAATTTTACGCAGTTCATCTTTATTTGCCTTTAATGGTCTATATCTATTGTAAAAAGATAACATTTTAGTAAATGAATCGTTAGGCTGGAACATGAATGTATACATCAATTGGAAAAAGCAAAAAAGAATATGATTTCAATAATACCTGATATTCATTTTATGAGTAGTGAATCCTAAGTAGGGATCTAATACAAGAGACGTGGCCAAATCATCATTATCAGAGAGTTCTTTTGGTGTCATTCCACATCCTCCACCGCCACTATTTGGTTGCATCTTTGCACCAACTGTGCCACCTAACCTTCGCTCCTGCTTCCTTACTGCAGTTGCTGAGGCCTGAATCGACAGGCAATCCACCACCATTCTGCGACACTGACTTTCACTGGAATACGAAATACTTGTATGAGGAAAGAGTCATTCTTTTTTTTTTTATAATCAGTTATAAATAAACTGATTTTTTAATGTGAATTTGAGTCGATGCATTCTTAAGTTCATGCATATCAAAGGTTAAAGTATTTCTATGATACAATTGCAAAACAATCAATCCTATTGAATAGGCTTGGCTAATGTATAATACATTACTATTGTTTCGCATGTAACTTGCCCGATCAATTAAATGGAACAAATGTATTGAAAAAAATGTCATTATACTCAAACCTGAATCAAGCTTGTTGTAAACCCTTGTGAATGCAACAAAACGTATAATCCGAATGCTACACTATACTGAACACATGGTCCAAGTTTTAATCGATTATTCTATCCGGCCGACAAAGAAGATAATAAAGGGAAATCTAACGACGTTTCACGATGAAATATTATTCCACATTGCTCTGTAACATCACACTTATTCCGTTAATGTAACCTTCTCAGCTGTTATTGGAATGCCAAACATGGCAAGCTATCTCACTAAATCCTAGCACACGTGCGTTCAATTCTGTCCCTGTAACACTATCTTCGCATTCACATGGCTTCCCTCGATAATGTCATCACCAGGAGGAGAGGTATCCTCGCGACGCCGAACCCGAGAACAAACCAAGCCCAGAAACGAGCCACTTGTCAAGAAAAGGGAGGGAGGGAGAGAGAGACAGAGAGAGAGAGAGAGAGAGAAAGAAAGAAAGAGAGGTCGCGATCGCGCGTCGTGCGTGATCTAGGCGCCCGGATGCGGGGATTCGCCTGCGACCATCTCCCGGAACGGGATCCCGTGGGACGCGACGGCGTCGCTTCGCGATCGGCGGAGCGTCGGTGCCATCCGCGGGAGCCAGCCTCCCTCTCGGAAGCCAGCGCCACGGACGGGACGAACCACGTCGGGCGCCTCCGTATCGACCGGAACACGATCTATAGATGCGCGTCGACGTAACGGTCCTCTCTCACCCGCGGTCCTCCGGAGGACGACCCGGGTGTCACGCCTCCGTAGTCCTCGGGACTCTCGGGAATGCCGTCATAAGCGACTGGGCTTAATGGCGGGGGACGAAGAAGAAGAGTCGGGCTGCGCGAGCGAGTCGAAGAGAGGGCGAAGCAGGAGGTACCGATTCGACGTCGACGTCGACGTTGATGTTACTCTTGCCGCCGCGAGTTACTTACCGCGAGAATGCTCTTCCGAGAACACACCTCTCGCATCTTGCAGTCGGTCGGGCCCCTCGCGAGCTAGAGCGGCGCAGCGACGTGCCTCTCGCGTCGCGGCCGAGACGCGCTCGCGGCGGCTACCATGGCAGGATATATTATCCGTACGGGAGGATAATCTCCGGTGGCTCGACGGGGCACGGGTGCGACGCGACGCAACCCGCAGCGTACATGTACACTTTCCTCCTCGCTTTTTTTACAGGCCTGCGTGCGTACGCAACGTGCGTCCTCTCGTGCGACGCGACGCTCCTCTTTCTCTCTCGTACGTGCCCTCTCGCGATTCGACGGCGACGAACGACGACGGCGACGGCGACGACAACGGTCAGCGTCCCCGGCGACGCTTTCCCGAGCCCTCGCTCCTACCCCCTCGTCGCGGCGTCTTACTCTCGCGAAGGAGTAAGAGAGAAAGAGAGAAACGACAACGGCTGACGAAGAGTATCAATCGCGGCCACCGCGGGGCGAATTCATGTTTTGGAATGTCGCAGCACAATGTCGTCGCGCACGTCGTGCCTGACGTGATTCGCGTGTTCCGAGCATATGTCCCTCGCCCGGAAACTTCGCCAAGCGCTGCCGCCGCGACTGGTGGCCGCCTTGATAATTTCTCGCGACGTCGCAACGTCTCGTCGTGCCTAGCATGCGGATACTGTCCTGCGGACAGTCGGCAGTGCCCCGAGTGTATAATTACGATGATACGATTATGGCGATCGGACGAGGAAAATGCGCGGCTGCGGAAATCCGTCGAGTCTAGAAACGGCCAGGGAAAGACGTCTCCTAGTGACTTACGCGCGACCAGGATGCGGCACTGCGTTTCCATGACGACCCCGCCGTGGGGATCATCTTCCGGCGTCCTCCCGTAACTTAGCAACTGCGATTTGCCTCATCAGCGGATTCCGCGATCCGCCTCATACGTAATGATAATTTTTCATCATACACATTTTATTTACGTCAATAACGCGCTTAAATGTCTTGGCAACTTTTTACATTCGTCGAAGTTTAACACGATGAGATTTATATGAACAATTTTCTCTCGGGATTATAATTATATACAATGTATGCAAACTTAATCTAAAGAATAAATTCTTCCCTCAAGTATAAGACAAAGCGATATACATGTAATACGGCAGAAGATAAAACTCTTCTTTTTTCAGGGATTACGAAGGGCCCGAGGACTTCTCGAGCCGAGCCTGCTCATCGATACGATGTGAACGACACACACACACACACGCACAAACTGACCACGCGTGATAGCGGCTCCTTTTCAGATACACACTGTCTGAATGTCTACGAAATGCACGAGTGTAGTTATGTAGTATCGCCTGTTGTGCACGCGGTGAGGACTGACTGACCGCATGCTTGTTTGAACATACACGTGTAATTGCGTCAGAATTATTATTATTTTTTTTTTTAAGTAAGAGCGAATGTCACGATGACGACGGAAAGTGTCGCCGGGGCGATCAACGTGGAAATACCCCACGTGCCGCAGAAGAATAATCGCGCCATGGGAAACATCAAAGATGGCATGATCGATTTCCTGGCCGGCTCGCTTGGTAATGTCCAGTATAATCGCGCGTTTTTATATGCGGTATCCTGTTTACACATTTACATGAGCAACCATGTGTTATGGGGTATACGAATAAAGGCGTAAGTCACATGCGCCGATACGAGTATGCAGCGGAAATTGTCCGAATTCATGAGATGCGTCGCGATTTTTTTACACGAAAAAGAAAATCGGAACGGTTTTTATTGAAGCGGTCTATATAGAATTGCAAAGCATAAAAATAAAAGATTCTGAAGAATAAAGATATTTGAAAATAGCAAGCGCGATTATTCTCGTAAATAATATTGTTTGTTGAATTTTAATCACATACATACACACACTTCTATAATTACATTTAATATTTACAAATGTAAAACATAAATTATTTGTTTATTATTATTATTGTAGTATTATCGCAAATGTTTATTATTATTATATTGCAAACATCCACAATTTATTTGCAATTTACATTTTAAGTATAAAATTTCAATTATCTTATTGTATTTATTATTTATATTTATTAATAAAATTTTGTTATATATATATATATATATATATATATATATATATATATAAAATAGTAATAATTATATATCATATATTAATTTTTATACATAAATTATATGCATATATATAATTAATATTAAATGCAGTAATTTTTAATTGAAATTTTATACACGTATATACATGTATATATGATGCATATATGATAAGAAAAGATAATATTTCGCGAGAGAGATTACCTCAATCTTGTAAAGTTATCTTCCACAAGTGTAATCAACTGATAAACATTAATCTAATAATCAATTAAATTAACGCGTCATCTTTTTATGTTACAAGAAAAAAATGCATTTGACAAAATATATTACACGTTTTTGTCGATTTACCATTTATATATTGTTTATATACAAGTTATAGCATTGAATATTAAATGTACAGCAAAAGTTGCAAGTTTATAGCAAAATATATTAGAATTTATTTTTAGATCTGATTTTAATATTTGACAACTTTTTATCAAGTATTTATACTTGTTGCAATTAATTTTAGATAAGAATTATATTTTTTATTAATATCATCACACACACATGAGATATCCTTTACGTTTTTGTAAATTAGATAATATTATAATATTTACAGGCGGCGTAGCGCTCGTCTATGTAGGCCAACCACTGGATACGGTAAAGGTAAAAATGCAGACATTTCCAACCATATATAAGGGTATGGCAAATTGCTTTCTGCGTACATTAAGGACAGACGGTATCGCGAGGGGTTTGTATGCCGGAACAATTCCGGCGATAGCTGCCAACGTTGCCGAAAATTCGGTATTATTCGCGGCATACGGTGGCTGTCAGAAGGCGATTGCTTATTTATTAGGTAAATCATAAATCACATTGATTCACTATTCCATAAAGCGAAAGAATTTTTGACAAACAAAGCTATATCACTCACTTTTATATGTAAATATATATAATCACTGTTTTTAAGTCAATTCTCTTTTGTAGGTGCACAGAACGTAAAAGAGTTGAGTTCCTTCAGCAATGCTTGTGCCGGCTTCTTTGCCGCATTTTTCTCTTCGTTGACGCTATGCCCGACTGAGTTGATAAAATGCAAGTTGCAGGCAATGAAGGAAGTTGAGCAGATGCAAACAGCCGCAAACAAATCCACGGTAGTGTCCAATGACGAGTTTTTAATTGTGAATTTATGGCTGGTAATTTTGAATGACATCATCGTTATTCATTTCTTAGAGACCTCATATAGGACCGTGGAATCTGACAAGACAGATTTTTAGGGAGCAAGGTGTAAGAGGCCTGTTTACAGGTCTATCATCGACGATAGCTCGAGAGATGCCAGGCTATTTCTTCTTTTTCGGCGGTTATGAGGCCACGAGAGAGTTGTTGACGACGAAGGATCAGAAGCGGGATGACATCGGCTGGCAGAAAACAATGGTAGCTGGCGCGGTGGGTGGCGCAATGCTCTGGCTAGCAATATTTCCCGCTGATGTGGTTAAGAGCAGAATACAGGTTTGTCTTTATCGCTGAAAAAGCACATATATAACAGTAGCATGCCATAATAATGCTGAATATCTAGTACAAAAAAGATAATGCATATCTTTTATTTTAATTAGGTGCAAAACTTGAAAACACCCGCCTTGATAGTCTTCAAAGATATCATACGGCAAGAAGGCATTGGCTCGTTATACAACGGGTTGACACCGACTTTAATAAGGACAATACCAGCAACTGCGACATTGTTTATCACTGTCGAATACACAAAGAAACTTATGTACGATTATTTTTGAAACCGGCTTCAGTATTTTCATATTTTCTATACCTCTTGAATCTAATATATTAAAAAAATATTTGTTTCAAAACAATCAAATTATGTGCTACATAAAATTTATCATATTTGCCTATATATCTGTAAATATTAGAAAATAATGTAATATAATATTTACAATAAGTTGTTACTAACATTTTATTGATAAAAATTATATTTTCAACTTTTACTCTTTCTTTATATTATATATGTCTTCCTAATATATTCACACAAAAGTCATATAATTATATACCTTTTTATAATTAAAATATTTACGCTATAGTTGCGGTCGGGAACTCTGGATGCTTTGAAGCGTTTGATTGACTATTTCAGGAAAAGGAGTAAAGATTTCTTTAACCTGATTGGTCAATCAAAACATCCAAAGCGTCTCCCCGACCGTAACCAATGACGCATATTATTCCAAAATTTTGTAAAAGTCAAATATATAATTATCTTTTTTCTAATTGCATACATGATGACAAATTGAAAAAAGATTATAATAATGATTATTCAAATATATACAACTTTTGACATGATTATATAGAAATATAAATAAAAAGATGAAAAAATGACCTGTATTTTTTAAATACCTTTACAAATTAAAATATATAATTTATTAATTAAATATATAGTAACGAAATCTTGATATTATTTATTGGACAATTTTTCGTTAGTCCTAAATACAAGTTCTTTTATATAATCACACTTTTCCTGTGGTGATGTACATTTCTCCCAAAGAATGTATGATATCTGTAAGAGAAAATTTTTTTATTAAGTGTCTTAATCTATCAACATAATTTTGATAAACATTTTGAAATTAAATTTTTCAATACTGTTTACAATTTTATAAAGTTACAGAGACTTATTTAAATTATAAGTGAAATTTCCACCAAAAATTATAGAAAAATTTAATGAAACTTTAACATCAAATTTTAACATGAAACTTCAAGTTAAATTATAAAGTTTCATATATATGCGCTTTAAACTTTTGCATTTGTTTTAATCAAATAGATACATTCATTGGATCTTCTATAAAACTTACCATAATAGGAGTATATCCAATTATGGGAAGCTGTCTTAGTTTTGCAGCTAAAAGTCCAGTGGGTAAATTATTATTTCTTATTAAAAGTCCATGAGGAGCCATGACAAGAGCAATCCATCTGACGTTCTCCGGGGCTTTCTCATTCACATGTATAATATCACTTGAGGGAAACTGTGATAGGTATTTTTCCGATGGTACAAGCTGATTCTGTTCATCTAAACAGAAGACGATATCCGGCGTTGCGTAGTGCGGCAATAATCGGATAACTGATATATCCGATGTAGTATTAAACAACTCCTATAAAATGAAATTAGCTGTAAGAGTAATATATAAAGAAAAGAGATTATCCATTATATGATAATATAAATACCTGACATGTTTGAAGCACATCCGTAGAAAGCCGTTTCCTCCGACTCGATTCCGGTCCGTGAGAATATTCCTTGAAATATTTCTATAAATAGATTCATTAATGTGTTATTTATGCGACAATAGAATGTGCTTGTAGAATCGGTTTCTTTGTATACCTTGTCTAGAAAGCTACATAAAGAAGACTTAAGAAATGGTCCGTTGTATTCAGGTACTTCCAGCCGGAGACTGTAATCTAGTACGGAATATTCACGTGAGAGTTCAATGTAATTGCCTTTACATATCTTATGAAGATAACTGGGAGCCATAACACGTTCAATTAAATCCGTAGGATATATATTTAATATAGCCAGATATCCTAGAATACATGAAGCTACTTGTGGATGCCTGATGTAAAAAAATATTATAAATATATTTGAAATAAAACAATTTCTTATCTAAGAGAAAGATATAAAGACGAAATTTAACTTTAATATATACAGAAATCTATTTTTCTTTTTTTCTTTAGAAATCTTATATCACTGTTATAATGCTTACTCTGATATCTCATGAGCTCGACTCGTGTCCCAGGTAGCCCTGAGTTCTTCTATCACGTTTGAATAGATACTGTTGTTCGGATCAATGTTAAAAGTAGAGAGCGAAAAAATTAATCTCTCGATATCCTTTAGTCTTGCAGTTTCTATTTCATTATTGAACCTGAGAATATATGAATCATATGTATTACTTATCATCTTCTTCAATTTATGATAATATACACAGACAAGAATGGATTTTACCTTTTGATTATTTCATTTATGAGATCCTCATCATATAATGCGACTTTCGCCGCTGCATGCACGATGTGTATCAGAGACATCAGCGTAAAACGTGGCACATACTGTGGCAGAAGCTTCAGCAATTTCTGAAATGTAGGAATTGTCTGGAGCTGCATACTATATCTGAAAATAAGACATAGTAAGACATTATAAGTAAAACCAATGTCTATAAGTTAATAAATATTTAATATTATTTTACCGTATCAATTTTGTAATTCCACCAATACTAACGCTGTCTATAGCATCTAATTCAGCAATGGTTTTTTTCATGATTTCTTCTAGAAAAATGATGTTTCTAATTCGCGTGCCAGTTTTGAAAAAACCTAACGCTGCTATCGCCAGCTCATTGATTGACAACTCGTTTATGCACCGCTCCAATTGATATTCAAGCTCATACATGTTTATAGGTGTTTTCCGGCATAAATTCAGAAAAAATAAGACCTGCACCAGTTGTTTAGAAGTGAGCTTTTGAGGTTTGTTACCTAATTTTCTCATACAGTACCATATATATTCAGATTTTTTGTAACGCATTATCTGATACATCACATCGCAAAGTAACAGCATTTCATTGATGTTTAGCTGTACAAAGCGCTTCACGCATTCTTTGTCCAAACGTTCGCAAAAGCTGTTGTAGAAACCATGATTTAGGAAACTCTGAAATGGTACCAGGTACCGCATTATTGCCATAAGATCATTATCATTCAGTTTCTCTATATCCAACGTATTGAAAGCATTTATGTATTTGATCGGACTGATACAATCATCTTTGTTACAACAAATGTTATAGGATAATTTTTTAATGGCTGACAATATCTCTTCGCTCGTCATCAGACTCCAATTCTGCTTCAGAAGTCCCAGAGCCTCTTCGTTCGTGACATGAGAGTACGTCCTGATCGGCTTCATCACAGTCATCGAGTAATTGACCGAATTAAGAAAGAAACTATGAGCGTATTCATTTTCCGTCTTTTTTTGAGACTTAGGTTTTTCGCTGCCATTGGGGGTCCGTTGACGATCGACCTGCTGATCGGTGGAGAGTACCGCGAATTCTCGACGTTGATGCGGTTTGCGCGCCACGTGATATATGTATGACGTGCACGTCAAATGATTACTGAATCCACGCTCCGATGATGCGATCATCTGCTGAACGTAGCTACCCTTGTCATATAATCTCAACAGCACCGAATACGTACACCGTAAACGGTTCAGCCTCTGCGTCAACACACTCATCATGAAAAGCTAGTTGGCGAACGATTAGATAATTCGTGATGGATTCTCTCTCATGTCAATGTCGCGAAAAAGCTTTTATAGAATCAATTTCTCTTTTCACTATTTCTTTTCTCTTATTGAGGTGTTTAACGTCAACCGATCTTGTCTTATTCGGTTTTTTGGACACTTTTGTACAACCAGTACTTTTCTTTTCATTCAAAGATTTGAGGTTGGATACATCAAGGTGCACAACAATCTCGAGCAGAGAGAAGATTGAGAGATGTCATAACCTGCTTTTAGATGATCCCTCAAAGCAATACTCCCTCTATGAACATTGAAAAGATGGACGTGAACTACAAAGCCAAAATCCATGAATGTTCTCAGAGGATAATAATGGGTGCAATATCTGGTTTTGTTCCGTACTATATGCTCGAAATGTCGGTAGTACCGATGCTATACAACAAGATACTTATATATGTAAATTGATAGTAAATAAATTATTCAATCGCAAGAGATACTGTAATATTCAAAGATGAAATAAATATTTTTCTATATTCATTGTCATATTTATATCTTTACTTACAAAACACAAAATGTCTGCTCTGAGATAAAAACATTTTTAATCGTATTTCTATAAATCTTCTTAATTAGCAATAAACTGATCTTTGATATAATCGAAGGTGATTAAATTTTATAAAACTTTATAATAATTTTATAATATTTAATCGCTGATTTATCACATCGAATCTTCACTCTATTATTCGACATTTCTTTATATTTAAATTAGCAATATTTAGGAATATTATCTGACGAGAGGGACAGCAATAAAATTCTGTTAAAATGATAATCTTGTATAAGGACGCGAAGAGAATGCGGAAAAAACACGGTATTTTCGCAATCATAATTTAATAATTTATTTTAAGAATATTCAATTTGTGCGATATGAAATTCATAAATAAATAAAGCTAACAGAAAGCACAATCATTAAATTTATAATAATTGACTCGCGATTCTGTATATAAAAATTTTCCAAATTTATTAATGATTCTTTGACATGAAAATACAAACAATTACTCTTTCATGAATATTCCAAAAATGTATACAGAAATAAATACTTTAATTTAATGAATTACTATTATGTTAATTACGATTATGTAATCATTATACGTACACTTTCGATAATTTTTCGTGTAATTTACATAAGAATTTAAAATCGTAAATACAATTTTCATATAATATAATTATAGTCATAATTGCATTGTATTTTATAATTAAAATATCAATGTTAGATTATAATCAATGTAGATTATAATCAAAATACAATTATAACTATTTATAATTTATAATTTACAATTTACAAATTTATGATGCTATCAATATCAAATAATAATATTCCATTTATTCAAATATTTAATAACATCGATACAATAATTTGATATTGATAGCATTAACATTTGAATTAAATATTATATTTGACTTAATACATACATATTTTTAAGTTTTAAAATAAAATATAACATGTTAAGATTTCTTAAACGTTAATAATTATGCAATTTCTTTAATATTTCTGAAGATAATTTTGATAATTTAAATTTCACTTTTAAAACATTTTTATTTTTAAAACATGTTATATTTATTTTTACAACGTTTTTAAAAATCAATTCAACTTAATTAAAATAATTTTAATTTACTCCTAGGATTATTGGAATATTAAAAAAAAGAATGAATCTTTCTTAATAGCCCTAATAACCTTACTATTAAAGGATTCTAATTATTTTAATAGCTCTAACAATCTTACTATTACAGAATTTTAATGATTTTAAGAACCCTAATAGCCCTAATATTAATGGAAGAATTCTAATGGTTTTTTTTAATAACCTTAACAACCCTACTTCCTGATTAACTAAAATTATTCGACATTTGGGGAACCTATCTCTAATCATCACCTCACCTAATCACGTATATATTTTAGTCACTTGCCCTAACCGCGTGCCCTAATCGCGTACCCTAACCGCGTATCCTAACCGTACTCTTCAGGCCAGATGAACCTATCTTTCATTGATCCTGGCCACTTTCTTTCTCGATCTCAAATCAGAGATCGAAGAGGGAGATAATTACTCCTTCTTTTGCCGGATAATTACCGGCAAAAGAGCGTAAAATATTTACGCTCATTTAATAACGATCGTTCGATTTCATTGAATATCGTTCATTAAATATTGAACATAATTTTATTTTAACTGAAATAAAGCCAAATTACTACAAATTTCTATAAATTATATTTTATAATAAAATATAAAATTAATGTGTGTATTTATCATATTACAAATTATTTGATTAATTAATCATTTGGCTTTATATTAAGTTAAAGTAAAGTAAAAACAATATTTTTTAAAAACAATATCTACAAACAAATTCTACGATGAATGAGCTATGAGCAATTAGAAGATAAATGCGTATTATAAGAATAAATTAACATCAAAAGTGATAAAATTGATAAAAGTTAATGCATGTCCTTTATTTAATAAATTAGACAAAGTCTTTACAAAAATTTTTTTTCTTGATCTCTTCTTTTTTTAATTAATATTTCAATAAATTTTCGCAATAGATGCAAAACATAAGTTCAAAAGAACTTATTAAAATTATTTAATTTAATTTAATTAATTTAATTTAATTATTAAATTTAATTTATTTAATTTAATCCAGCCTAGCTTATCCATTTTAAGGCAACGGATTTATCTACAATCTATAATATACATCTACATCTACATCTACAATCTCTATGAATCCGTTACCTTAAAGTTAAATAAAAGTTTTTTTCACTCACCGGCACTGATGCGCAACAGCGGAGTTGTTGTTATCGAAGCTAGTTGTCTGTAACATACAAATATAAAATTCGTTTATAATAATGCTCACAAAATGCAAATAATATTTTTAAAAAATTTTATCACGCGGAATTTTATATCCGATGTGTAAAATAATAAGCAGATGAACATGTATGGAAAAATTTTTTAATTTTGAAATTGTTTTTTAAGTAGAAAATTTTATATTTGACTTTTATAAAAATCTTTCTCTTTAATTCATTTAAATAATAATAAAATAATAAGATTAAGAATAAGATTATTGTTCGTTTATAACAAGTTAACGATTTATAACAATTAATATATAAATAATAGATATTCACCATCAGGTTGCTCCGCCGATGCAAGATGCCTCTTCCAGGCCTCCTCCTCCTCTCATGTTGTGGGCGCGCGATACTTTTAACGACACTTCCGCACTCGCGAGCGATATTTTTATATCGCTATTTTCGTTATTTTACGCGCGATACTGAACGGCACTCCCGCACTATTTCGATTAAAAATTTTATATTTGATCGCGCGATGTATATACTTAATATGTATATACCTTTAACGGCATTCCCGGTTTCGGTACGAGCGAAAATCCCATTTCACTTACGAGAATTACAACGCGAAAACGCGACGCGTTGACGAAGCGCATGCCGTCCGCGGCACGTTGACGGCACCGACGACGCGAAAGGGTACTTAGCTTCTCATTCAGGCACCTTAAGATTTATCATAAATTGAAAAATTTAAGATAAACCTCAAGGCACCGTCCAGGTACTAAGCCCTCCCACCGCGACAAGGTGTACCCCATGGGAGGGTTATATTATATTATATATAATCTTATACATAATGTAATATATATTTAATTTTGTAATGTACTATATAAATTTTAATTCGCAAATATAAACGATAAATAAAAATATAAAAGATAAGAGAAAATCTATTATATAAAGCAATGTTTAAAATAATTATTAGAGAAAGAATTTAATAATATATGGAACGTCTCACATCACTATCTCACTGCTTGAAGGCCACTGAGGGAATGATCGTACGTCAAAAACATTACCGCGTACTGTTTATATCGCCAAGGTTGACTATGTAGAGAGAGAATTTGATAATATATGAAACGTCACTACTTTATTGCTTAAGGTTACTGTGCGAATGATCGTAAATCAAAACCTTTACCGCGATACTGTTTATATCGCCAAGATTGACTTATACTATATTATTGTTATAATTCGTCGTTGAAATATTCTACGAGTGATTGCCGATTAAGAAAATTTAAAGCATTGGTCGAAATTTATTTAATTCTAATAAGTATCGTTAGAGAAATTATTAATAAACATCAATAAGATCATAATAAAATTAATTTCCTTATTCCCTTTTATGTTCCCTTTTTCAATTTTTATTCGCACTAATTAATGATTGCGATTCGATAAAGATTTATCGTTGCGATACATTTTCATGACGTTTATCATAAGTTAATTTATTTTTAATTGTTAGTAATTATATCTAATTATGTTTCGATACTAATCGTAATCGTGTTTAGAAAAAAAATTCGACAATATGCGAAGCGTTTCGCACCACTACTTTACCGCTCGAGTGTCACCATGCGAATGATAATAAAGCCATAACATATTAACAATAGCGCGCTATTGTTTATTTTATTTATAAATTTATTTATTTTATAAAATTTATTTATTTTATTGCCAAAGTCAAACACCCCGTGTTATCGATCATTCATTGCCAAAATATTTTACGTACTATAACATATATTGTTATACATGAAAATATTAAATTGTAAAAGTTTTACAATTTATAGATTAATTATTAACGATTATTTATTAAACAATTAATTAACATACGAAGCATTTCCCATCGTTACTTTACTGCTCGAATGTAATCGAATAAATGATAGCAAAACCGTAACGTACAAACAATAACACATTATTGTTTATGAAAGTCAAACATAATGTTATTCATAATTCATTGTCGAAATATTTTATATACTATAAAACAATTTATTGATTAAAATTGATTAAATTAATATTTATTAAACAATTTATCAGCGAAGCCTTTCGTTATGCTAATTATTTGCATCTATAATTCGATTGTTTAACTTCGTGTTCTCTCATAATCCAAATTATATTTATATTGTCAATTAGAACGATAAGATAACACGGATGAAATATATTTGTTACTCTAAATATTAAAATAATAATTATTGTCCGTAAAAATCGCAACGATTGAAGCGATTATTTAATATTTTGGGTTCCTATAATTTAATCGATTTTTGATTGAATTGTATATTGTTTAACTAACAAGAATTGAGAAAATTTAAAGCATTGTTCGAAGTATATTTAATTTTAATATTGTTAAAGAAATATAATTAACAGAAATGGTCGAAAGATCATTACATAATTCATTTTCTTATCCCCTGTTTCAATTTTTAATCGCGGTAATGAAGCATTACGATTTGATAAAGATTTATGGTTGCGATAAAGTTTTATATTGTTAATTAATTTTTATAAAATTTAAAGCAAATTATGTTTCGATACTAATCGTAATCGTGTTTAGTAAGAAAATTACAATATTCGAAACATTTCTCACTATTTTATTATTCAAGAGTCACCATGCAAATGATGACAAAAAACAAAGGTAATGTATAGCACGTTACTGTTTATATTTTACATTGCCGAACAAAGTCGAACGCCGTGTTATTGATAATTCGTTGCCGAAATATTTTATATATTATAAAATATACATTAACATGGAATATTAAATTATGGAAGTATTTTAATTTATTGATTAAAATTGATTATTTATTAAACAATTTATCACGGAGTTAATTATTTGAATTTATTCGATTATTTTACCGCGCTTTTCCGAAGTCAAATTCTATAATATTTAGTTTTGCATTTTAAAAGATTAACTTATAGCGAGCTAAATAAATAAATAAATAAATGATGTTGAAAAGAAAAAGAAGACATATAAATAAATAAATAAATAAATAATAGCGTGAAAAGAGAGAACATACTAATATTTTTATATAATAAATTATTATTAATTAAATTATTTATATTTTTATTTATAATTATTTATATTTTTATTTTATTTTATTTATATTATTTATATTATCAGACATATATGTTATCCTCTGAGAACATTCATGGACATTGGTTTTATAGTTCATGTCGACGTTTTTAATGTCTACAGAGGGAGTATCGCTTCCAGGGATCACCTAAAAGCGGACCATGACATCTCTGTCTTCTCTCTGTCTCGAACAACGTGCTCCGCGAAAGCTTGGTGATGTAGACGAGCGTATTTGTTTTCATAATATTGTTCTCTCTGACGTGACATCTCATGTGCGAAATACAAAGTTTGAGGCAAATATGCATCCATCTTGGATTATTATTTTGTTATACGTTTCCATCCATAATGGGTCTGTTCTTTTCAGCTGCACTACTGCACTAGTGCAATTAGTTAGAGTGAAAGAAAGCATGTTTGTCTCTTTCTAACTTATTGCACTAGTGCAGTAGTACAGCTGAAAAGAACAGACCCAATATCAAGCGGTTCATGAGTAGCAGAAATGGCGAGAAAAACAAAATTAAAATCGATAATTCTTGACATAATTTATACAAATAAATTCTAAATTTCGCAAAAAGTAATTTTTTATTTCGGTAATTTTAGAATCAACTTTTAATTTTTCAGAGATCTCTTCGTAAGAACTCATAAAATCTTGCATACAGTGGTTTTCTATTTAATTAATTCATTTAATATTTACAGATTTGATGTGGAAATAAAATAATAAAAAAGAATAATGCAGTAACTTATATAAATAATAATGACACATGTACAACAACGGGGTATACATATCGCAGATTTCACTTTTCCAATATCTTTAGAACAATGAACGTATCGATGACATAATTAAAGTTTATTGTACGATGCGATTAATACACGTGATTAGTTGTTGCATTGAAAGTATATAATATAATTATAATATGTAAGGAGTCTTTTTTCATATCAAGTATGTACATATATTTTATTTGAAACGTCGGCGAAACATTCTCGAACATCATACATAATATTGTTTTACATTGTTTTCCTCTGCCTTTATGTACAAGAACTTGATTTGCCGATCGCGTAACGATCTTATGCATGAGCATGTATAATATGAATCCAAGAGAAATTGATTATTTTAACGCGAGATTGTATATTTGCGGAACAACAATCTCGGAAAGGTATACAAATAATTCGAGGAATGACATTTTTCTAAATTATTTATAGATGTGTACAAAATGAGCTAAAATATATTATAAGAATAAAAAATTAATGAGAAGTAAATGTAAACACTTTCGGAATTAATTTCTGTACAAATTAGAATATTCGATATATGTATATTTAAATTCTAAAATGTTAATATTTTTATATTTAAAATTATATACAATATTTAAAAATATATAATATATATAAAACAGAATGCTGAAAGATGATTAAAAATCATTCGATGTAATCATTTCGCGCGTATTCATTTTACAAGATTGAGATAGTAAATTGACCTTTCTTTTTCCGTTGTGCTAGTCAAGTGTTTATTATCCAGAAGTCAAGGTGCTAACAACATGCGTGCACGCGCACATTTTCATTTATTTATTTATTTTTTTTTCGTTTCGTTAAATTTGCAAGAAGGTGAGGATAAAGAGAGAAAAAGATCTATCGGGAAGTAGAATGAGAAAAAACACACGGTGTAATTAGGCCGGATAATATAATAAAAGGTAATTAAACAGACGAAAGTGATTTGTTTGAAAAGTAGTCAATCGGTCGGTTATCTCTTTGCAGAGTCGACATAATTCCGTGATTGCCGAGTCAATAGTCCATATATACATCCTGTGGATCAACCCGCACCAACTTCTTCTTCGAATGAAGAGGCAAAGGTTCAGCCGGATAGACATCCCTGGGATTCTAAAACAAATGAAAAATCCATTATGTTTATATTGATCTTGAGTATGTATGAAAATCCAAATTGTAATAATTTAATTTTTATTCAAAAAATGTTATTCATTAATTTATTATTTTTCTTATTAATTGATTGTAATTGATTGGAATTGATATAAAATAGATATTTTATTTCAATTATTATTAAAACTGTAAAAGATTAGATAAAAAAGTCATAACACTTTAGAATCAGTTTTACCAAATTAAAAAATGGAAATTGACATAATAATAAATGGAATTGTTGACATAAAACAAATGAGAGGATCATTGAACTAATTTTTTTAATAAAAGAAGAAAGGTGAAAAATTTATATAGCTAAATAATTATTTAATTTCCATTTTTTAATTTGGTAAAACTAATTCTAAAGTGTCACGACTTTTTTATCTAATTATTTAGTTTTAATAATAATTGAAATAAAATATTTATTTTCTTTCTCTTTCGTGCATAAATATATTTTTATTTTTGATTAAATATATTTTTACTTATATTTTTATATTTTTTACTGAAATCATGACTAATATTAGTAAAATGTATCAATTAAATTAGGAAAACGATTAAATTAAATTTTCTAAAAACTGTTCTCATCATCATATTACTTGATATATCTCGAGAACTAAAGTTTTTACTTACGTCATCGAGAACTGCGATCAAAAACTTCATCCTAGGAAGCTTGCTGCAATCAGTTTCATCGCAGTTTATAGTACGCATAATAGGTAATGGTATCAAGCGTTTCCTTATCTGAGAACCTCGACAAGAAGGTTCATACGGATTTCTCCTGTAATAACACAATCCCATTTTATTCTATGCTCTTTTTCCAGTAACATAAAAAAAGACAAATGAAAATGCAAAGCTTACTCGCAGTTCACTGCGCTAGCGACCCAAGACTGATAGTAGCACACGACAATGGTGAAGATGATTATGCATCGTTGTACAAACGTCTGAAACACGGAAAGTAAGACATTAATATAATTTCACGTAATTATATATAAAAGTTACACCGTCATAAAAAAAATCAATTTCACTCTCAAGTCTTTCTCTCTTTCTCTTCAATTCTCTTTCGTTTATTAATAATTTTTACATTATTACTTATCCATTGAGATGAATGTCTGCGTCAGTACGTAAAGATAATCGAGATAGTCGAAAGAGGAATTTGCGCAAAGTTGTCGATGAAATTTTAATTAATGTGCTCCTAATAAGCTTACCACGCAAAGTGCAGCAATCAGGACTAAGCCGATTTTAACTAGGTCGAAATTAACATTAAATTGACGCACTGTCAATGTACGAAGGAAGTTGTGAAAAGGATCAAAAGTGTACGAAAAGAGCATTGTGATGAAATATTGACGACCTTATGTTTCGAGATGTGCAGCGATATTCTTATCTTTACTCGAGCGTCCAACATGGATAGCACTCGTCCTAACGAAAGGTCATCTCGTTTAGTATCACGATCGGCAAGATCTCGATATTCCAATCGCTATTTATTTGTCGATGCGGCGAAAAACGACGGCAACTCCTCCATTCGTGTCAGCCAATTTGCGGAAGCCCGCGTATCATCCGCGTCTCCGTACGATTTTTCACGATCGTTTGCAAACAAAGGGGAAAGGTCGGTATGTGAATTTCGAAGGATATTGCATTCCACATGACAAACAAAGCTGTCTAATTTTGAGTTTCGTTTATCTAATATAATGACGAGGTATAAATACCGTCTAATATTTGTATGCGATATCATATTCAAACGATATCAATACGCTTAATATGACGATGGTGACGAACGTGGGCGATTTTAATCCGCGTTTATGTAACAGAACAATAGAACGAATTTTAATTGTAAAGTTGGTGGATGAAACTATCTCAGTCCATAGTTTCATTTTTTAATAATTTTTAATTACACCAATTATAACTTTAAGCCTCTTTTATAACAAAGGAGAGAAAGAGAGAAAAAGAAGGGAAGAAAGAAAGACAGAGTTGTTGAATCTGTCTTGTAACAAAAATTTCTATCCTAATATGAATATATATTAATATAAAAATATGAAATTATATAAAAAATAAAAAATAATTTAATCCTTCTTTGTGTTAGAAAAATCTAATGAAATCTAAAAATAAAAATTCATAAGACATCAAAATTTTAAAGATTCGAGCATTTGATTTATGATTATGAGGAAAAAAATTTGTTTAATTTTTTAAAATTTTAAACAAATCAGATTGTTACATTAAAAACTGTCAATGATATTATGTATATTTTTAGAAAAAAATATATTAAATTATATCTCATTATTATTATTTGTTATATTAAAAAAGTTATTTCTATTTTAAGAATAATATTCGCAATATACGATGTTGTAAAAAATCACTGTTTTTTTCTTTCGTGCGCATTTATTTTTGCTCTTCTCACATTTTTCAATGAATTACAAACCTACCAGACTAATGATACTTGGAAAGAGGAATCGAAATTCTAGGTGCGACGCAATGTGATAAAAATTGTTTTTCTTTCAAATATTGCTCATGAAGAGACGTTCATTTGAAGCTTTTGTGCGATAGTTATTGTTTATTTATTTTAATACATCTATTTTCTATCGGTCCCGAGTCCGCGCTATTATGGATCTTCAACATGATTGAGCGAAGTTGAACGCACTGATCACGTAGCGCACATGTTGTAAAGAGGCTTAAGAGCGTTTTTACGGAATAAAATACGGGAATGAGATTTCTCCCCTCATCCTTCTTTTCTAAAAAAAATCTCGCCACAGAAATCTCGCCGTCTCGTATTATTCCTCGATATTCGGTTTTTATACAGTAGACCAATGCATCTTGCGCGAGTGGCTCTCTCATATTAATTTCCTCCTGTGAACTTATCCGAATCTGACAATGGAATTTCTCGAGCGCAAACATTTCTTCCGAGCTTCGAATTAATGTATATTTATACGAAAATGCGTATACTCTGTTGCAAAAATATTTTTTTTTGTCACCAAATAATTTGAAAGAGAGAGAAATGATAGCTCTTCGGCACAATGAATAAAATTTACATCTTTTTAATGTAACAAGCATATAAATTTTAATCAAATCATCGTCGAACTATCTGAATGTTGCATCACTGTTTTAAACCATTTATTCACGAAAAATAATTCGTAATTCATAATTCTGTTTATTAATTTTGTTACGCTCTATTTGAATCGAAAAGATTTACTATGTTACTTTCACTACTTATTTTATTAAACAAATCTGTTTGTAAATTCACTCGCAATCGTATGCAAGTATGTAACATAGACTGTAGATAAATAATCAGAAGAATGCTTAAAATGTTTTAAATTGATGTGATAATTAAAATGCATAAATCTTTGACTATATAAAGATGAAGATAATGGATGTTGCATCTAATATCTTTTAAATTTTTTGCTGTTATTTTATATACGGTATTTTTTTTCAAGAAAACTTATTCAAACAGTAAAAAAAGACGATCTAACAATTATATTATATCATATAAAAATATATGTGAATTAATTATATAAAAGATGCTATTATAAGGAATCATAAGAAACGTGAAAAAGGAAAAAAAATTTTATTGCATTTGAATATATGCAATTGAATTTCTTGCTCTATCAATTAATAAATAAAAAAGATGACCTTATAATCAAATTACAATTTTTACACATTACCTATATTACTTACATTACTTACTATTACTTACATTAGGATTACTAATTACTACTATTACTACTATTACTTACATTAGGATTACTCTCATACACTCGATATGCAAATTAATTGTAATCGATAAATAGCATCATATATATCTTAGGCATAAGGTATAATATGAGGCGTATTTGAAAGTTCTCAGTCGATTGTTATCGCATGAGAAATTTCGTTCTAGTGATTTAGCTTCAATATCCTGATAAGCGAGATAATTCTTAATGTAAATCGCTTCCGGGTACCTTTCCCACGGCTGTGTATCTAATGGAGAATATACTATGATTTTGACGCAATGAACAATGTACTTCATACCTCAGGGTATTTAAATCACACACACACACACACACACACATTTTGCACACATATATATTTAAAAATAATTATTATTTCATAAAATTATATATATAAAAAATTTGTCCTGTAAATCAAAATTAATTAACATAAGACATGTAATATAAAAAAGTATAATATGATTTATTTTGTGACGAAAGAGGATTTGATACACAGTCAAAGAAGACTGTGCAATACAATATGGAAAGGCCTGAGAAGATTTTTTATACAAAAAATATTTTTAACCCATAAAAGATGTCCACGAAACCTAAAATGAAGCTTCAAAATTTATCACATTCTTAAGTATTTTTCTTGTAGAGTGATAAGTTTAAAAATGATATATAAATTTTTCATTGCTTTTTTCGTATTTTGATACATGTGGAAATATTGCTCTACCCGAAAGAGAGTCATGTATTAATACAAAATTTATCAAAGAGCTCATCCAATTGGAATAGACAGAGCTAGCGGCCAAGCAGATCGTACGACGATAATTGCCGCACACAGCTGATTTTAGTTAATTGGCGGCTATCGTAATTGCGGAAATACTGCAAATGGATTTCTGTGCGTTTGATAAGAGTCGCGTTTATGTAACTCAACGATCGAGTCGATTACGTGATATATCAGAAACCTGAAATATCAGAAACCATTCTTTCATCTAAGAAAATCATATATTAATCGTATATATAATAAATTAATTATAAAGATATATTTATATAATATGATAATTATATATAATAAATAACAGGTAATATTATAATATTATAATAATTATGTATAATAAATAACATATTATAAAAATTATATATAAAATATATACTTTATTATTAAAAATACTGTGAGGGAGATATGAAAATTATAAAATAATAATCAATTATTACGTTTTGCAAGAAGCATTTATATTAAAAAACGTTCAAAAGAATAAAATAATTGATTAAATCGTATAAGTACTTATAAAATACATTAATTAGAATTGATTAATTTCAATTCCATGTACCTACTTTTATTCTCAATACATTAGAATTATTCAGAAAAACAATACGAATCACCTAATTATTGTATTCGAAGTATCATAGATGTGTTGTCATCGTAATTGGAAAATAATGCTTGTCAGGCGATAATATGTCATTGAAGAAACGCTAGGTATATTGAAACGTACAAGTACATGTGTGTAAACGCGAAGATAGATACGAACTATCCTGAGATATGATCACGATATTCACGACATTTCGGTCCGTGTTAATTGTTAAACAACGAACATATGAAGTTCCTAATCAAGTTATTCACATTCTTCTTCGCATTCTTCTTCGTTTGTATGACACAATGTCAAGTCGTTGACTACTCATCCTTGTTAATCCAGCTGCGGGACATATTCTCATTTTTGAAAAACATCACAGATTTGATGTCGCAAGTATGTTTGCTTCATTTGTGAGATATTTTACAATTCTGCGAAAAATAGCGTGGAATTTTGTGTGGCATTTGTTTTTTATCAAAGATTACAGTAAATATACGATACATGGATATCTTTTTGGTCGGGAAATAATTTATATTTCGATATTCGACCAAACCATAATTACAGTTATCGAATAGGTTGAAATACGATCGTAAACTAATAATAACTTCTGCGATATAATTACATGCGGTAACAACACATGAAAATACATATTTACGTCAAACGATTATGATATCGTTGTTATTACCTTAAAAAATATAATAATTCCGGTTTAATTTAAATAAACGTTAATTATTAACTTTTATTAATTATACGTTAATTATTAATTTTATTAATACGTTAATTATTAACTTTTATTAATTATACGTTAATTATTAATTTTTCACGATTTATCATCATCAATTTATTTGATTATGTTGATTATATTTTAATTAATTAAAAATTGATTAAATATGTATATGTATAAGCAATACAAAA